GGGGGGGGCCCTGCAGTTGTGTCCCCTTCCCAGGAGCGGCACAGGGCAGAACTCCAGCCCTTCTGCCCCCTTTGCCCTTCACGCGGCTTTGTTCCCACGTCTGCCCCCCGCCCTGCTGTGCCCGCTCGCCCCCGCTGCCCACCCCGGGGAGGCCGAGGGTCCGGGCCGGCGTCCCCATGGCAGGGCCCTTTGCGTGTCTGTCAGGGGTGGCGCAGCAGGCGCTCCCGCGCCCGAGCTGGCCCTGGTCTGGCGGCAGGGTGCCCGCGCTGGGGGTTACCTGCGTGTGTCAATGTCTCCCCGCAGGGCAGCTTGGAGGATGGGCGGATCATCGACACCTCGCTCTCGCGGGACCCCCTGCAGGTGGAGCTGGGTAAAAAACAGGTGATCCCTGGTACGTGAGCCTGGGCCCCAATGGCGGGAGGAGGCTGGGCTGGGCCTCCAGAGATCTGGGCTCTCTGCCGTTGACTGCGTGCGTGCCCTTGGCCGTCACTTAACCTCTTTCGGGCCTTTTTCCCCACCGCCCCAGCAAGGTGGGGGGGGGCTGCTCTCAGTCAGGGCCTGTGCAGCGCCTGGCACGATGTCGGTGGGGGCCTGTGCAGCGCCTGGCGCGACAGGGGCCTCTAGGTACTACGGACACACTAACTGCAGTGAAAGGTGCAGGTCTCCGTTGGCGTCTGCTGGAAGGATCAGGTGCCCCACGGGCCCCCTGCCCTGCTCCGAATCCAGCTGCCCCTGGAACGCACCGACATGTTCCCCTGCCTGTCCTCTCGGCAGTGACAGTCTGTGAAGGGGCCACTGCCCTTTGCCGATGTTTGTGTGACAGAACCTCCCCTCCCACGTCCAGCCCTTGCAGATGTTCCGCCGGGTCCGGGGCGGGGGGGGGGGGGGGAGTATTAGGTATTCCCCGGCTTGGCCCAGGCTCCGATTGGGAGGCTTCTCTCGTAACCCTGCTGAATGATCAGACCTCTCTAGATCCCTGGCTCCCACTTCCTTGGCACCCCGGCCCGCGCCGTCCCTGCCTCATAGGGGCAGCTTTCAGCAGCTTAGCCCCCTGGTGCCGTGAGCCTGCCAGAGCTCAGCGGGGCCGGGGGCTCGGAAGGGAGGCCTCCTGCAAGAGGGGGCGGGGAGAGGAGCCATCCCAAAGAGGCCCCGTCACCCAGGAGGGTAGGAAGCCTTTCAGAGAATCCCCCTGATTTGTGTCTCTTCTTCTGTGGTTTTTCCCTCCTCCCAGGCTTGGAGCAAAGCTTGCTAGACATGTGCGTTGGGTAAGTGAGGCCCTGGCTTGCTAGCGAGAGCAGTGGTGGTGTGGCTGGGAAAAGGCATCCTGGCTCAGTGCTCTCAGCCAAAGCAATAGACAAGCTGGGGATCCTCGGCGCTCCCCTTCCGCTCCGGTACGGGGCTTCCCACGGGGCTGGATCAGCGGAGTGGGCAGGGGGCTGGAGACGCAAACATGGTGTGTGCTCATCTCCAGGAGCAGGAAGGGGGCTCTCTGCCTGCCCTCTGGGCTGGGCTGCCCACTGGGGGCAGGGGCGAGGCGCTCCCTTCCTGCGGACTGGGTTTCTGCAGGCAGGTGCAGGTGGTTGGGCCTGCAGGCACTTGGAGACGAGCATGCAGCTCTGACACTAGCCCACCCAGGGCTGGATGCGAAACCAGGCAGGAAGCTGCTCTCCGTCACTGAGCCAGTGCCCCAACCACCTGCCGCTGGACGTGCTGCCTTGGAGAGGAGGCCTTAATGCATTCTCGTTATTTTAACACCTCCGGGCCCTTCTCCTTGGACACGGGCTGGTACCCTCAGCATCCTGCCCACAGCCCAGCTCTATCGCTTACGTTCTACCCATGTACAATTTCAGTTTGATTCGGCATTAGGCACTTCTTGTCCTGAACTGTGATGGAGTTGTGCTGGGTGGCTGCTGTGCTCCACCCCAGCAGTGGTCGCACTTCCCTGGTGGATGGGGTGCCTTGGGCAGGGGATGCTGCGTGCGAATGGCAGGGCTGTGGCTATGCTGCCAAAGGGCAGAAGGTTGGGCCCTTGCTCTGATGTGCCTCTCCCTCTGCCTGGCAGGGAGAAGCGGAGGGTGATCATCCCGCCTCAGCTGGCTTACGGCAAGCGAGGATCCCCACCTGCTGTCCCAGGTAACTGCCGCCTCTGCGTCTGCCCAGCCTGGCTGGATGTGGGATCTTCCTTAACTGGCCTGAGTCTCAGAGCCAAGCCCTGGTGCCCCCCACCCCAGGGCAGAGAGCACTAGGCTGCTGTTAGGTCCCCCCCAGTCCTCTGGTTACCCAGCAACACCTGCTACAGATTCTGCTCCCTGGTGAATTCAGTGCCAGGCTGACGGACAGCCCCGGAGCTGGACGTTGTGGCCCGCCAAGGAGCGAGGGAGCTCGGGCTCTGTAGCCCCTTCAGTCCTTGGCTTGCCTGGAGAGGCTGCCAGAGCTGACGTGACAGGGCTGGGACTCCCCAGAGCTGCAGCTGCCTCTGGTTTGCTCTGGGCAGGGCAGCGTGCGGGTACCCTGCTCTGGGGGAGCAGTGCTGTCTGGTGCCCTCCCATGAGCTTGGGCAGTGACCACATGCCCAGTGCCAGCTGTGTCAGGACCACTCCCACCTCTGCCGTGTGTGCGGGGGAGCCCAGCTCAGCCATGCCCCCTCTCTCCCCAGCTGACGCCGTGCTGCAGTTCGACGTGGAGCTGGTTGGCCTCTCCCGGGCCAGCTACTGGCAGAAGGTGACGAATGACGTGCTGCCCCTGCTCTGCATCGGGCTGATCCCGGCTCTGCTGGGCCTGATTGGCTACCACCTCTACCACAAGGCCAGCAGCTCCCGGGGGGCCAAGAAGAGGCTCAAGGAGGAGAAGAGAAACAAGGCCAAAAAGAAATAAACGTCCCCTCCCCACAGTATCAGCACCTGCTCCGTGGCTGCTTTTGTCAGGGTCCCTGGGGAAGAGGGCCTGGGGGAAGCCCTTTGCTCCCCTCCGAAGGGGGGCTGGAGCAGCAGGACCGGCTTGAACCTGGCCAAGCCAGCTGACAGGGCAGGAGAGTGAAGGCATCTCACTCACAGTGGCCACCTGCCTGCCCTTTCCCAGGATCAGGCAATCCCAGGGCCGTGCTTCCCTGGGGCAGGGCCTGGCCTGGAGGCTGCAGAACTGCACCAGGGTCACCAGCCTGCCTTGGCAACGCGGGGGTAGAGCCCTGTGCCTGGATGCCCCTCGGCTCCCCTACACTCCCCTGTCAGGCGTCACCACTGCGATCAGTACAACCCTTTAATGGCAGCTTCCTATGGGCACGGAGTGGGACAGCACCGCCGGGGAAGCGCTTGCCGCTCCTCACGCCCGACTCTCCCAGCCACGCGCGCCAGGCACAAGCTGCCGCAGCTCACAGAGCGCAGTTCCCAGCATGCCCCGGGCTGGGCAGGTGGGCGGCTCACAGGATGTGTGGCACCTCGTGGGCAGCCTCGATGACATTGTGAAGGGGCCGTTTTCGGTGGGCTTTGCCGGCGGGCCCAGGCGCACGGGGCTTGTGGTTGAGGATGAGCAGCGGGTTGAGCCGGCTGAGCACCTCGTCGCTCACCGAGATCCCGTCCAGGTACTGCTTGAGCAGCAGGCGCAGCTTCTGGTTCTCCTGGCGCAGCACTACCTTCTCCCGCTCCAGAGACAGCTGCTCCAGCTTCACCTTGTTGTACCTTTGCCAGAAGTGCTCCAGGCCCAGGTAATCCTGCATCAGCTGCAGTTGGAAGGACAGAGGAGAGCTGAGGGGGGGCTCCCACAATACACCCCATCTGGTTCTGCTTGTCCCCTCAATTAAAGAGTGCATGGTTCTCAGCAACCTTCTCCCCAGCCGCCCAGTGCGGCACACGCTCCACCAGCTATGCCAGCCTGCCTCTAGGCACCCCCAGCGTCTGGGTCCCTGCCCTCCTTCCAGCACCCTGATGGGGAGGGAGGGGGTCCAGGTTTCACCCCTTACCTGGGCCAGCTGCTCCCCAGGCTTCTCCAGGGAGACTTGCTCCAGCTCCTCCTGCTCCTCCCTGCTCAGCGAGGAGGCGTAGAATGGCAGCACCTTCTCCTCCTCGGTCTCCAGCTTCCGACACATCTCGGCCAGCCTCAGGGTGAGCTCTGCCTGCGGGGCAAGCGAGGCCTTAGCGGGCCGGTTGGGGACAGCTCGGCGAACAGTCTGCTCTGGACACCAGGAGGGGGCGCTTTTCCTGGGGGGTGCTGGATTGTGTTGACAACGCAGGGGTACGGCAGGAGAAGTGTCTCCCTGGGGCCAGGAAGGGATGATGGATTTGGGGGAAGCAAGTCTCCCACCAGCCAGGCTGCATGGCTGGGACTTCTCTCTCCTGTCTGTCCTGGACAGGGGCAGCTGTGAGCTGCATTTGGCCAGTGCTACTCCAGGCATGCATGGGAGAGCAGGGCCCCCGTGGGCGGGGCAGAGGCCTCTCCTGCAGGGCTAGGGGAACTCCGGCCTTTACCTTTTCTAGGACGCCCCTTAGCTTCTTCAGGGCAGTGCTGCTCTCCAGGGTGAGCTTGGCCAGGTTGCTCCTGGCCTTGGCCCTGGCCTGGTTCATCTGGCTCTTGAGCTTCTGCAGCTGCTTGAGCACAACCTCCTTCTCCTCGTGCACGCGCCGGTTCTGCTCCTCGGCCTCCCGCATGTGTGCCGCGATCTTGCCTTTCAGGATGCCAATGGAGTCCTGGCAGGGAAATGGCGCCCGGAGCAGTCAGTGAGTTGCTCAGCACACCGGGAACCCCACGACCCCCCAAGAAGGCCTGTTTCCTACAGCTAGGGCTTGGGGTGGGGCAGCCTCACTGACCTGAATTTTCTGCAGCTTCTTCATCTGCATCTCAATTTCCTTGGAGCTCTTCTCATCCTTCAGCTTGAGGGCCTCAAATGCAATCTTCCGGTCCTCTGTTGCCTCGGTGTAGTTCTTCAGTGCCTGCTGGAACCGCTTCCACAGCTCCTCCACTGTGCCCTCCAGCTGCACACGCAGATAGTGCTTCTCCTCCAGGTTCTGGGGGGGGAGACATGTTAGCCCCTTGTCACGGAGTGTGGGGGGACTCAGGGCCCTGCACCCCCGGCGTCCTGCGATTCACCATGACTCTCAGCCAGCCAGTAAAGCAGAAGGTTTATTTAGACGACAGGAATACAGTCCAAGACAGGTCTTGCAGGCACAGACAACAGGACCCCCTCAGTTAGGTCCATCTTGGGGTCCCCGGGCACCCTAGCCCCCTTAGGGGATCAGAGCCCTGTCTGCCCCAAGTCCCAGTCACTAGCCAGCTTCTCCAACTCTCCTTGTTCAGTCTCCCGGGCCAAGGTGTCACCTCGCCTCCCCCCCTTCCTGGGTTCTCATGTTACATGCTCAGGTATTCTCCTTCAGTCATTCACCCATCCCCCAATGCAGACCATCCTAGCCACACTCCCCTGTCAGCATTCACAGACTACTTTAAGAACAGTCTCAGTTCGTCACACCCCTCACCCACCCTGAGCCACCAGCGTCCCCTCCCCTGACTCCCCAGGCCAGCCATGCCTGCAGAGCCCACCCCAAGGGCAGGAACCCAAACCCCAGGAGGGGAGCTCCCCCTCTCCAGTCCCACTGGGACTGGGCAGCCCCCTAAGCTGGCAGTGGGGAGGACCTTGTGGTAGAGATGGACTCTTGCCCATACCCTGTGCCTTAGCAAGCCCTGCACACATAGGAGTGTGAGGAGGAGGGGCTCCTCACCAGAGTCCGCCACCAGCTGCTGGCTGAAGAACCAGAGGAAGGCTGGTGTCACCAAGCCCCTCCCCTGCCCCAGGCTGGCATGGAGCAGCCTCAGCCCAGACCTTGTTCTTGACGTCGTCCCTGGTGCTCTGGAAGTCCAGCTTGGCCTCGTATTCGCTCTCACTGAAGTTCTGCTCCAGGGCCAGCAGCACATCCCGCAGGTAGCGGCTCTCCTTGTCATGGTGCTCGATGATCATCATCCTGGGGAAGCCGCAGATGAGCCGCCAGGGGTGAGCCAGCATGGCCCGCGGCGGGGAGGGGAGAGCAGCTGATGGCTACCCAGAGAGCTCTGGGGAGCTGCTCCACGGGGGGCTACAGCTGGGGCTCAGCACAAGAGCATCATGGCCAGGGATGAGGGCTCATGGCCCTGGGGCACCATCAAGCTGCCTCCCCATCCCTATGTTCATCACCTGCCTGTCTGTGCCCTCCCCCAAAGTGGGCAATCCTCCCCCCCCCCCCCCCCCCCCCCCCCCCCCCGTACCTTTCTGTCTCAAACTCCTTCTTCAGGGCCTCCAGCTCGGTGTTGTAATCCTCATCCAGGTACCTCAGGCGGCACCGCTGGAGCTGCAGCAACTGGTCGATGTTGTGCAGGTGGCTGCACAGGGCATGAGTGTACTGCGCCTCTGCCTCGGACAGGTCCCTGGCCAGCGACTGTATGGATGACAAAGAACACTCAGGCGCTGCAGCGCCGGCCCCAGAGCCTCCGAGCGCTGTTACCCCAGCGAGCTCAGCGGCAGCGAGGGCTGCAGGGCGCATGGGACCCTGGTTTGAGCACGTTTGCCCTCCTGCAGCACTTCCTCTCCTTGGGGGGGCATTGCTAGCCACTCTTCCAGCCCTGTTCATGGACCCACAGCGCTATGCACCCCTCCCAGCTCACCCAGCTGGGACCCCCACTGCTTACCCGGATGACACTGTCCTTGCAGTCCACCACCCGCTCAAAGGTCTGGCTCAGGATCTCAATGTCCTTGCGCAGTTCTCTGGCCTTGACTTCCCGCAGCACCGTGCGCCACTGCAGGTTGATTTTATTCAGGTTGAGGGCGCTGTTGTGCTCCTCCTTCGCCAGCTTGTCCTGCGGGGCGGGTCACAAAGTTACACTGGCCGGGTGGGAGCACATCCCAACCACCTACCGGTATCTAACTAGTTCAAGGGGAACCTGCAGCCCCAAGCGCTGCGCAAGCTCCAGAGACTCCGCCAGCTCCCAGCAGCGTGCGACAGAAGGACTGACGGGGACGCCCATCACGTACCACACTGGTTCAGCATTACGAGGGGAGAGCCCGGCGCAGTCTGGGCAGAGAGCCTGGCTCACGCGGGAGAACGAGGCCCCGGAACGACAGCTCCCTTGGGGGGGACGTTTCAGAAGCAAAATTGTAGGTTTCGATTGTTGGCCCAAAAGTCGACATTTTCTGTCGAATGCCCCCACCCTCCCCAAGCCATTTTCCTGCCCAGCTCCAGGTTCCAGCTCGGCTCCCAGCGCCCAGGGGGCAATTCGCAGGGGGCACTAAACGGGCCCTGGAGTGGGGCACCCCGCCCCGCCTGCGCCCCGGGCCTCGCCTTCAGGAACTGGGTGAGCATGTCCTCCTTCTTCTTGCTCAGCTCCTCCTCCGCCAGCATCTTCTGCTGCATCAGCAGCAACCGCTCCTCCTCGCTCAGCACGGCCGCCTTGTGCCCCTTGCGCCCCTTCTTCGGCATGGCGGCGGGGCTGGGGGGAGCCGGGTCAGATGCTGCCAAGGGGGCGCCCCCCACCCCGCCCCGGGCCCCCGGTCCGAACCCCCCCCCCCCTGCAGATGGCCCCCTCCCCCCCTGGGCCCCCTGCCTCCAGCGTGCCCCCTATGGGCCCTCTGCCCCCATGAGCCCCCCACGGGCCCCCTCCCCCCACGGGCCCTCTGCCTCCAGGGGCCCCTCCCCCCAGGGTGCCCCCTATGGGCCCCCTGCCTCCAGCGTGCCCCTCCCCCCACGGGCCCCCTGTCCCCCACGGGCCCCCCATGGGCCCCCTGCCCCCAGGGGCCCTCCCCCTGCAGATGGCCCTCTGCCCCCCCCCCCCCCCCCCCCCTGGTCCCCCCCCCCGCAGCAAGTCGCGTCCCTCTGTCTCCTAGCAACAGCCGCTTCCTTTGGAGGGGCGGCCCCTGCGGCCCGGGCGCTGACGAGCGGTCGC